GAGTCAGGAGGCCTGGGGCTGAGCTGTACCTCCCGGCTGTGTGACTCTGGGCCAGTCACCAAACCTCTCTGAATCTCTGCTTACACTCAGGTCTTTCAAGTTGCAGGCAGGATGACCTTAACCTTTGTGTGAAGCTCTGAGTGAGAGCCCATCGGACCAGTAGTCCTCTTGGGATAGGGACCATGTCGTGTCGTACCACACTTTTGTGTCCCTGGGGTCCAGCATGGGGACCAGCACACACCAAGTACAAACAACAAGGCTGTAAAATGCCGTACAGTGTAGGGGCTCATTTCTCCTGGGGGGTACTGCTGCTGTCGAATGGCCTATCCTGAGCTAATGCCCTGGCAGACGGGCCACCCCAGTTCACAGCCCCCACCTTCACCAGTCTTTCATGCTGCCTGGCCTCTTCCCTTGTCCAGTTGTTCATCGACAGGACACTGTCCCCATCTTCCTCCAGGCACCCCCTCCCAGCAACCCTTACCCCTCCTCAGAGGAAGCAGATCATTTCCCCTCTGCCCTGGGCCCCTCCCTCACTGCCTTCTCCTCAGAATCTCAGCTCATCAACTACCTCCTCTCCCACCCTCTCTTCCCGACCTTCATCCTCTCCTCCCCCTCTTCTGGCCCTGCCCATCCACTTAGTCTTAGTCTGGTCTCTGTCTTTCACCCTCCACCCCTCTCTGGCCACATTCCTGAGGGTCGTCCAACTCTCGAATCCACATCCTTACTATCGCTGCTCTCTGGCCGACTGCCCTCTGCCCTCAGCAACCTCTCCTTGGCCAGCTCCTGATAAGGTGGCCACTAACCTTCTGGTGGCCACATCAGATAGATGCTTCAAGGCCCTTATCCACACTGGACTTTCTGGTAACCCTTGTGAACACGGTCCCTCAGCTTCTGGGCCTGCACTCTGCTGCTTGTCCTCGTGTTTTCTGGCTGTTCCTCTCTCACTGGCTCCTCTGTCCTCCTGTCGCCTAAATGCAGTGGCCCCAGGGCTGCCTCAGGCACTCTCTTGTTCCCACTATCTACACTTTGTCACACCCGCGGTTCCACCATCACATGAGGAAGGCCTCCTCCTGAACAGCAGACCCGTCTACCCAATTGTCTCTTGGACTCTTGGATAGAGGGTCCTGCAGGTCTCCCCTCACCCAGGAAACAGCTCTGGAAATCCCCTCAACATCAGAATCCTCAGAAGGGAAGAAATCTTTTAGCCTGGCTAAAGTGACGCGGCATTTCCCCCCAGCCCTCCCCTCCCACAGAAGTCATCCGCCTTAGTAAACAGCCCCAGCCCTCCCCTCCCCAAGTTGTCCTCCTTAGTAAACAGCACCACCATCTGCCCAGGTGCAAGCTGGGAAGCTAGAGCTCATTCTGATTCTCCTCCCCTGCCCACCCCCATCCCATCAGCCACCAGGTCCCACCAAGTCCACCTCTTAAACCTTCCATGTGCCCAGAAGACCTGGCTGTTGAAGGTCACTGGCCGTTTTTGCAGCCCCAGCCATGAGGGTCTTGTCTCTGTCCCACTCCTTTCTCTGCTAAAAGCCTTCCAATGACTGCAGGATAAAGTCCAAATTCCTGGCGAGGGCCTACAAGGCCCTGCTTAGCCGGGTGCCACCCACTCCTGGCCCCTTTCCACACAGGTGCCCTGGGCTTCAGCTGCACAGGGTGGGGTGGGGGTGGAACTGCAGGGCCCCAAACGTGCTGCACCCTTTCACACCTCCACCTCTGCCTGTGCTCCACGGCACCCTGAGTGTAGCTCAACTGCAGATGGCTTGTGCCAGGCCAAACTGAGGCATCTGTCCCCTCCCGCCAGCCTCCCCTCCAGGTGGCGAGCTCCTAGGGCTTCGGCTGTAATTGAAGGGTCACCTGGTGCTTGGCAGATGTTCAATCAATTCATGCTGAATGGACGAAAGAAGGACCAGGAGGAGTGGAGTGCAGTGCTTGAGGAGAAAACAGTCAGGCTCATCTTTCAGGAAGTTCCTTCACTAAAGGCTTTCTTGAACAGTTATGAGCAGGGGTGGTACCTCCTTCCCAGGGAGAACCAACTACATGCCCCTGGGGTTTGTTGGCAGGGGCAGAGGGAATGGAGTGTCAGGGAGATCCACAGCTGACACTTAAATAAAGCACTGTCATAGGCAGTGTAATTTATTATACTCATTACACAGGTGAGGAGGCAGGACCAGAGGTGCTGAGCAACTTGCCCAGGTCACACAGTGAATTAGGGCCGGAAGTGAGACCAGGCAGCAGCCTCCCACCTGATAGGTCTCTGGCAAACATCCCTGAGCAAGCAACCCACTACTACCATCACCTCTGCCCTCCCCCTCTCAACACACCCCTGCAATGTAGGGACCGGAGCTGGAGGAAGGAGGGGAGAAGATACCACCAGGAAGGGAAGAGACTCCGTTAGCTGGGGTGATTTCTCAGGAGGGACAGGGTCTGTAGGTCTCCCACTCAGACCTATAGAGTCTTAGCTCATGGGTAAAGGGGCTGCTGCCCTCCCCCCATGTCTACACACATTTCCAGTGCACACCCTATGGGCCAGGCCCTGAGACAGGTGCGGGGGTTCAGAGAACTAGGCCAGTCTCTGCCAACATGGAGCACACCTCCAAGTGGCAGACAGACCGTCCCACAATCATGAGAACACAGAACGCCGAGAGGCTTGTGAGTGCGCTGCCAGGAGCCTGCCCCGGAAACGGAGAGGTACCAGGGAAAGAGCTCTAGCATCCAGCCACCCATCCCAGAGAAGATGCCTGGTCGGTTGGCAGGGGCACTGGGCACAGGGACCTGCCCTACTCCCCGATCCCACCCGCGGGTTGCTGCTCTCTCCACTGGCCACAAGGGGGCGGGCTGTCCCCTGCAAAAACTGGAGGAACGGCTACACTAATGCGAACCGAGCCAGTCTTGGTGCACCGCCTACTACGTGCCAAGCGCTTCCACAGCTCAGCTCATTATAAGGCTCACAACGTTCCTATTCTTTAGGTATTGTCCTGCGTTTACACGAGGACATTGAAGCTGGGGGGCTTACGTGGTTTAGTAGCAGTTGGCAGGGGACCCAGTAGAGTTCTTGTAGCCTCAAGAGTCCGTGGGTTATGCAAACGTTAACGCGCGGCTGCTAACCGAAAGGCTGGACATTTGAGTCCACTCAGAGGCATTAGAAGAAAGGCCTGGGAATCTACTTCCGAAAAATCGGCCACTGAAAACCCTATGGAGCACAGTTCTACTCTGACGCACACATGGGGTGCCCATGAGTCCGAGTCCACTGGATGGCAACTGAAGAATAGCCTCAAAACCCGAACTCTTTGCACTATAACTGGGCAGGAAGACCAGACAGCTCGCAAATAGGGACCATGTCTCATTTCTCCCAGCATCCTGGCCTCAGTCCTGGCATGCGGCCGGCATCAGTGCTTGTTGTAATGTTATCAAGTTCAAAGAAAGAAATCAGAGACTCACAAATGTCAGAGGCCATCCAGATCCCCTCCATCACCTACCCATTCTTTGGGCTAAAGAACAAACTGAGACCCCCAAGAGGGGAAGTGAATTGCTCAGAATTAAACAGCTGGTGGCAGATAGGAGAACTGAGTCTGTGCAACTTTTTTCCCCAGACTGCCTCTCCCTGAAAAGTTCCGAAAGTTCAAGAACACAGGGCCACCTCAATGATTCTGAGGATGTAAGAGTGTTTTAAAACGTGCTCTATTTTCGATTTCTCAAATTAACATAACTGGAATCTGAAGAAGAAAACATCTCTTACCATACTAGACTTCATTCTGAAACAAAGCCATCAAAAGTTTTTTTTTTTTTTTTAAAAAAGGGAACTGAAATGTTGGAAGCAGCCAAAAAGAGAAGCAGACCCTGACATTCACATTCATCATCTCATCTGAGTCCCCAAACTCCAGTGAGAAAGGCGAGGCAGGTAGAGCCGGCCACAGTCCCCAGCTCCTTATTCCATATCCAGATGCTTTTCAGAATACCGAATGGTTCAGATTTTAGAAAAGTAATAAGGTGCATATACCTACCCTGTGTTATATAATGCTCTAGCAGGGCTTGGGGCAGCATCCTGTAATTAAGCTCATTTGCATTTCTGCACCCCCACCCATTTGTCCGTGGTGGCTTGTGTGTTGCTATGATGCTGGAAGCTATGCTACTGGTATTTCAAATACCAACAGAGTCACCCATGGTGGGCAGGTTTCAGTGGAGCTTCTAGACTAAGAGAGGCTAAGAAGAAAGGCCTGGTGATCCACTTCCAAAATTTAACCAGTGAAAGCCCTATGGATTACAACGGACTATTGCCCAATATTGCGCTGGAAGACGCGCCCCTAGGTTGAAAAGCTCTAAAAATACACAGTGGCCCCAACAATGGACTGGAGCATACCAACAGTAGTGAAAGTGGGGCAGGACCGGGCAACGTTTAGCTCTGTTTGTACATGGGGTCTCCATGAGTTGGAGCCGACTCAAGGGCAACTAACAACAGCATTTCTGCAGCAAAACATGAATATTCATACCAAGTGGGATAAATAAAGACGATCAATGGCCTGCAGGGAGCTCTGGTGGCACAGTGGTTGAGTACTCTGCTGCTAAACGAAAAGGTCACCGGTTCAAACCCACCAGGCGCCCTTCAGGAGAAAGATGATAGTCTGCTTCCATAAAGATTACAGCCTAGAAAACTCTGTGCGGGCAGTTCTACTCTGTCCTATAGGGTCGCTATGAGTTGGAATCGACTCGACAGCAGTGGGTTTGGGTATCAATGACATAACAACAGTTCAAGTCAAATTTTGCCACCAATTGAGTTACAAAAAACCTTTGGCCTCCCAGAGTGCTGGCATTTTGGAAATGCAGATAAGGGATTGTGAGTCTGTACCATGCTGGTTTTGTGACTGAGGAACGTGAGGCTCGGTATTCTGTGTTAGGGAACTGGTCCAACGGACACTGGGTGTCAAACCGGACACTAAGCGGGTCTCCTTGAACCCGGCTTCATACGGAAGCAGCCCTCTACTCCTCTCCGGGTTACGTACCTGGTCCGGGCGCTCCTCCAGCGGCGAGCCACGCACGTCCTGGATGATCTCGCAGAACTTGTCCGAGCCACTGCGCGCCAGGGGCCGCGGGCACACCCAGGAGCCTGCCACGCTGCAGGCCTTGTAGCGACTGGTGGTCCCAAGGAGGCCGGTAGGGGGCGCCGCAGAACGTGCCAGGTCGTCCAGGGACTGCGCGGGCCTCACCGGCGCCGCGGGTCGCACGTACAGGCAGGCTGGCAGGCCCGGCGCCAGGCTGCTGCGCTGGACCAAAGCGCCGCGCCGCGCTGAGCTGCACAGGGAGCCGGTGCGGCTCGGGGGCTGGGCGGGGGCGCCGTCGGGGCCCGCAGGCACCCGCGCGCTCACGAACCTGTAGTCGTAAGCGAGTGGCTCTGGGGCTGTGGGGCCCAGGTGGGGCGCTGGCAGTGGCGGAGGGGCTGCGGGGCCGCCGAGCGCGGGCAGCTCGCGCACGTACTGCGCAGGCAGGTAGAAGGGGCGGCCTCCGGGCTCGCGCCGCACGTGCCACCAGTGCTCCGTGCTGCGGCGCAGCAGCTGGTAGCGCTCATTGGGCTGGATGGCGATGCGGCACCCATCCTTGGCCGTGTACTCGAAGGGGTGCTCCACCAACACGTACACGTCGCCCTCGACGTCCGCCGCCATCGCGGCCGCGGCGCTTCTCTGCGGGCAACAAGGCGGGAGGGATACCGGAGGACACGGAGGTCAAGGCTGCGGAGCAGGCAAGAGTACCGCACGGGGTGGGAGGAGGCCTGGGTTCCAATCCCCATTCTGCCCTCGCCCTGTGCGCCCGGGGCTGAGTTTTCCTATCTAAATTGGGAGACTTGAACAAGACAATCTCTATGGCTCCCGTTCTTACACTCCATGATGGACTAACGACAACCCCTTCATTCTGTGGCGTTGGTTATAAGATTTGAGCCTCGCTTCCGCCCCGTGGTGGGGAGGTTGGGGGTAACACTGATCCAACCGTACTGCCTGGGAGGCTTTGGCTCAAAGAGTTGGGGTGATCGACACCACAGCTGCCTAAAAACTGACAGGTCCTCAGTATCCCCGTCTGTAAAATGGGAAGAACTGCCCATTTCCCGCCGCTTCCGCTGTCCGCCGGGTCCCGCTTCCTGCAGTCTGTAGGGTGTCCGCGGACGGTCCCGCAGCGCCCCCTCCCGCTAGGAGTCTGAGAACGCAACCTGCGGGATCTTGGCCTAGGCGCCGGCTGTGGGGGCGGCTCCCTCGCGGTTCTGCCCCGGTGATGCCCCTGCCCCGCTTAGTCCCAGGGTCAGGGCGGCAGGGCTGCGTCTGCCGAGGCAGGGAAACCAGTTCTCTTGGTTTCTCCTCTACCCAGCAGCTTCGTCGCAGACGTGAACCCCGAGCCCGGCCCGCCCAGACCGGCCCGCACCGCCCCAGCTCTCTAGCTCCCACCTCCGCTCCCCCAAAGGAGGCTCGGCCCTTGCGCTCCGCCTACTTGCCCAGTAATCCCTGCATGCCCCATGAGAGTGACCCCTAGAAAATGGACTTCGTGACAGTGACTACCCATGAGGTGGCATCCCCCCCCCAAAAAAAACAAAAAACCAAACTCACTGCCTTCGAGTCGATTCCGACTCATAGCGATCCCCAGGGCCCTCCAAAGTTCTCCTGCAATGAACACAAGTCCCCCCACTCCGAGGCAGCCGCAGCCTGGCTCCTAGCGGGTCGGGAGAGTGGGCAGAGTCTCACTGTAAATCTGCCTGTGTCCCCACCAAAGCGATGAGTCGGTGTCTTCCTCCGGAAGTGGCTATCCCTTCAAGCTCTTACACTGACCACACCTTCTCCTGTACCAAAAGGTGGCCCGGGACCAGCAGCCGAAAGCCCGGCTGCCTGCTGAAGCTAAGGGACCCCAGGAACGGGGGAGGGGCGCATACCGATCCCTCTCTTATGCTTGTGTCACTGAGCACACTGGACTCCGGAGGTGCGATCAGTGAGGGGCCCAGGACTGAGCCAAGAAGTCCCAGGGGAGAGGATACCCCCTCACGCCACCTCACCCGTTACCCCAGGCCGCGCACTCACTTGGACAGGGCAGACCTCAGGGCGCCCATTAGCTGAGTGGTGGAGCTGGCGGGTGGGTGCAGGTTAGGTCCCTATCATCTCTCTGGGCTGAGCTTCCAAGGGCAAGGCTGAGAGACCACCGGGACCAGGAGCTGGGGAGGGGAGCAAAGAGGGAGAGGGACACTCAGGAGGGACCCGGCTGCCCCCAATTTTCAAAGTAGCTGTGTCTGGGAGGGGCCAGGAGGGGCTGAATGCCTCTGCCTGGGCCTGCGGGGAAGCTGGGGGCGGGGCAAGGAACGTGGGGAGATGTGAGGGAGGGGGCAGGGGCTTGGGGGACTGTGTCCAGAGAGATTTTCTCCACTCGGGATTTGCTCCTCTGGAGCCCCTGTGCCCTGGGCCGGCCGCGCCGGGACACCCCGCGGGGCTCGACCCGGATCCGAGTGAAGCTGTCCGTGCTCTGAATCTCCAACTCCGAGCCCTCTCCAGCTTATTGCGGCATCACCTGCTCCGGTCCCCCTCCTTTCTCCCTAGGCCCTTTCCCCGCGCAGCCGCGCGGGGCCAAGAAAAACTCGGAGCGGGGTTCCCACGGCAGGGACGCCCACAGAGCGCGGCGTCTCGCGGTGGGCGAGGAGGGGACCCGGACCTCGGCTTCCTCCCCGACTCTCTGGGGGCGAAGAGAAGGGGAAGGATGGGGGAGCGTGGAGCCTCCCGGAGCTCAAGGACGGACGCGTCGCCAAGAAGTGCCCTGCGTCCACTGACCGGGGCGACGCGAGTCACAGCGGTGCCAACACCTGGCTCGGCACTGGGGGCCTGGGCCTGTGCCCCTCCCGCCCCCGGCCCTAGGGCAGCTCTGCGCTCCACGTTCCCCAGATAGATCCGTGCCGCGGCTCCACTCCCGGGCTCGCGCAGCTCCGGCCCTCGCGTGGTGAGCAGGGCAGAGGGGAGGGCGGCGGCCATCTGCGCCCCACCACCACGGCCCCTCGGAGCAGTTTAGCGCCCCCCGCCCGGCCCTGCACCTCGGGGCACCGGCTCGCCGGCCTCGGGCTTCGCCTCTACTTGCCCCAGCGGGCGCGCGTGGGCTCGCGTCCGGCTCTCGTTCCTTGGCCGCCCGGCGCCCGCGTTGCCGGGTTTCCTGTTCAACAATATAGCGAGGGAGGCACCGGCGGGCAGCGCCCAGCAGAACTTCCTCCCGGGCTGGGGCTGGGCTGTGGCTTCGAGAGACAATCCCCGGTGTCCCGGCTTCCTGTCCCCTCTGGGCCGGGCCAGCGCCCCAGGAGCGGAGACGCCACTCCCTCGCCCTGCACCTCCCGGGATCCTAGGCCACACATGGCTGCCTTCCGGGAGGAGGAGGCAGCAGGGCCAGGATGGCGGATGAGGGGGACAGGAGCCTCCCCACCAACTTTTCCTGACCAGATTCACTCCCTCCGTGACCCCCTCCCTTGATCCCTGTGAGGGAGGGGGCTGCCCTCCCATCTGTCCTCGGTGTAAGCTCAGAGCAACCCCTGGAGGCCAGAATCTTGAGTCCAGCCCTAGGGCTCTATACTTTGGAGGCTTATCTTTAGGAATCTTCTACCTCTCTGGGGAAGGCAGCCTCCTGCCCCCTGACTGGAGGTTACACTTACTCCAGGCATTGGCAAACCCCAGCTCCTGTGGCCCCTTACTCTGAGGGCCCTCAAGGAACAACTGCCCCAGGCCTTGGCCCCTCCTGACACCACCTCCTCCACCTCCTGAGGGCTGAGGGTTTGGTTGGAACCTGAATCTGGCTACCTGCTTCCCTGAACTCCTTCACCTCCATGCCTTTACTCCTACTAGGCTTTGCCCACGAGTAACTCCATTTTGTGTCAATTATCTCAGTGCGTCTGAGGTCTGCTGGCATCCCGGGCTCCTCCAGGGCAGGCACCTGGCAGAATTCAGCACTCATAACCCTGGTGCTTGGCATGCTTAGAAAATGAGTGGCTGGATGAATCGCCTTGAGGTCCCTCCTCACTAGTCCCAGAGTTACCCAGCAAGCCAGGCAGGGTGGGAGTGGCTGGTAGGTCCTTGCCTGGGGTCAGACAGGTCTCATGCCCAGCTCTACCACTTGCTGGCCTTGGGACCTTGGGAGATTTGCCTTATCTCTGCATCTCAGTTTTCCTTCCTGTAAACTGGGGGTACTAACACCTACTTTATAGGCCTGTTATGAAGATGAGATGTGCTTAATTAGCACAATGCCTCACACACAGGAAAGTCAATATATTAGTAACTATTATCACTACTTTTATTATGAGATGAACCTTTCCCCTCTTCAAGCCTCCCATTTTCTTTATGCAGGAGGGGGAGGGGGGAAACAGGTGCCCCCAGAGGCACACTGTGGAGGACGGCTGGGCTGAGTCCAAAGGCAAAGCAGCACCCAGGTCACAAGCCCATGGCCCTCCACTGGGCCTGCTGCCCCTAATCCGCACACCCATCTCCTCTTTTCTTCTCCAGACCTTCCACCTACTGCCCCTGGAGGGAGGCAAAGCTGGGCTCATGGGATGGGCAGAGGGTGCTCCCTAGCAGGCTGGGAGGAGCCTTCAAGGACAGGAAACTCTGACCAGGGCCCTGCAACTTGATTTCCCTGCAGGTTAGTCGAACTCCCTTCTCCTGTGACAATGATGGCTGTGGTGGGCTTCCCCTGGAACTTCAGAGGAAGGTCAACAGCCAAGTAAAGGCCACTTGCAGCACAAAAGCCATGAGCCCTGAACCAGGGGCCCTGCTTAAGCAGCCTGTCTTTCTGAAGCCCCCTCTCTCCTTCATAACCCAGTGAGAGATCCAGTCTTGAAGTTTCATGTGTCCCAGTGTCAGGATTCTATGCTATGACATTTAAGGCCCAGGAAAAATGCTGTTTTTGTGTGGAATTTCTGGCATCAGCTTCGGTTGTTACATATGAGCGTATGTGAGTAAACCTCCCAAAGCCCATTACCTTCTCCTCTGTGCTCACTCAAGGCACACAAGCCCCTGCCTTCAAGTGTTTGCTCCTAACCTCTGAGCACTCTGCTGTGCCCAGGGACTGACCACCAGGGCAGGGAGAGCCCTATCACAGATGGTAATGGGTGGCAGATGGCCCGTGGTCTTCCCCAATTAGTGGCGGCGTTGGGATTTAGAAGCAAAAACAGCAATTAGAAAGATCAGGTCTTTACTGCAAAATCATTCAAAAATTCCATGGCCGCAGTTCCTTCAATGCATTGCAAAACACTTCTCAGGGCCAAAGCCTGCTCAGGAGACAGTTTATTGCATAAAATAACATCTTTTAAAATAGTGTGGGCACTACTGAGGTTCACCCCAGCTTTCCGTTGGAGGCGAGAGAGTAAAAGTCACGAGCATTAGCAGCTTTGTGGTGATGGGGAGGGCGTGAGCCCTAATGCTAATAAATCTCCAGGGTGGGAAAAGGTCCCACCAACCAAAGTGAGCTCTGTCAGGGCCTCACTCCTGCTGCCTGAGGGCACCTGCTGGAATATACTCACAAGGCCCGAGAAAACGGCCAGGTTCAGGCGGCACTGCCTACTCCAGGCTGGGCTCCTTCTGGAGCAGCTACGGCTCTGACCAAGCCGTGCCTGTGGTGGGGGCATGAATGCTGGCTATGGGGGTCGGGGGTAAGGGCCCACTCTCTGGTTTAGAGGCTTTGGTGTGCTGGGAACAGGTGTATACCATTTTCCATGATGGAAAGAGCAGCTGTACGGCAGCCTCCCACCTCCACCGCCCTCCTCTATTCTATTGCGCAATGTATCCAGCTCCACAGGGCTGGCCAGGTGACTCAGCAGCCAGATCACCCCAAGGGAGAGATGGGGTTAGGGTCATCCTCTGACAGTGACAGATGGGATCTCCACCTCAGGCCTCCAATTCCAAGCTGAGTGCAGGTAAGATAGCCAGAGGACCCCAGGGCTGAGAGGGGCCCACTGGGTCCAGGAAAGGTGGGGGAAGGCAGCAAACAAATCACACTCAGACTTCCCCCCAGGCCTTAGGGGTCCAAACACCACTTTGAAAACAATTCCAGGCCTCATCCTAACCCCAAGACCTCCTCAAAGGCAATGCTGCTCCCATGAAAGTTTCTGGTCTCTGGCAGCGCCCCCTACTGGTCAAGTCCAACGAAGCTTTGTGAATAATGGGTTATAACACGGAAGCTAAGGATTCTTCCACAAGCGTAGGTTCTCCCGCAGGTCACCGCACATCTTGTAAATGGGGCTGGCACCCTTCACAGAACGACAAGGTCACTTCACAGTGCAGAGCCTGGAGGCCATGGTGCCCAAGGTTAGCCCCTGGCCTGGGCTCGCTGCCCTGTTTGTGGGCCTGGCCTATTTCCCTGCCATGGCAGGGGTCGGTCAGGCGAGGTGCATCCCACGAGCCCACCTGAGGTGGGCCTGGAGCATCTGCAGCAGCACCCTGCCTTCTGGCTGCCTATGCGCGGCGGGATGGGTTGAGAAGGGCACGGGGGTAAGGGGTGGGCAAGATGAGGCCCCTTCCCTGGAATAAGGAAGGCTCAAAGTGCGGCCAGTGCTGGTTTTGAGTCGTTTCTCCTTCTGCCGGGATCAAGACCCCAGGCTGGAGAAGTGGGGGGCTCCGACACTGAGAAAGGGGAGGGGCTTTTCAGGTGAGGAGGCTGGGG